GGGCGGTGCATACCTGTAATCCCAGCACTCAGGAGGTTGAATCTGAGGCCAGCCTGGGCTACCAAGTGAGACTGAGGCCAGCCTGAACTGCAAAGTGAAACCCTGTCTCCAAAAAAAAAAAAAAAAAAAAAAAAAAAAAAAAACCCAAAATGCCAGTCAGCTCCTTCTCTTTGACAATCTGATTAGTCACTGACATCACTGTTGTGTCAACGAATGTCAGAAATGCCTTTCCATCTTGTGACACAAATCATTGTACTGCAATGTCTTTGGATCCCATCTCAAAACAACTTAAAGATTTTAGTAATGGTTTTAAACTTAAAATAATTTCAAAAACAAATGCTACAAACTTGAAAAACACCATTTAAAAATACGTATTAAAAAATACAAAACGCTTTATGAATTTCCGCCTCATCGTTTGCACAGGCCCAAGGGCCACTCTAATCTGTGTCCTAATTTTAGGCTGTGAGCTGCCCCAAGTGAGTGCTAAAAATTAAAGCTCTTTGGTTCGTATTTTGGAGAAGGTGGTACTGGGGCTTCAGCCCAGGCTAAAGTGCACCCTGCCACCGAGACCCGCTCTCAACATCCCACCTCTGAAACAGAGTCATCTTTTATTTTGTCCCTCTATCTGTTCCTTGTCTTTAAATCCGGGGGATAGTTTCAAAATACTCTGCTAGAAACACGAGTTGAGGGTAACACAAATGCGGCCTCTGATCCTCAGGAGGGCGCTGTGGAACTGTGTTCCCTGCCTCGTTAAGGCGCTTTTGTTACTCAAATTTTGTGGGAAAGTGCAAGGCCAGACCTCCACAGAGAAGCCTTTATATTTTCATTTATTTTTAATTAAAGACAAACCATAGATTTTTTTTTAAAATGCAAAACTGGAAATGTGTAAGGTTACTGGTGAGGACTCATAAAACTGAGCAAACAATCGCCCTGTTTCTCTCTGCAAAATCCCACTCAGGTAAGGAAACCGCTTCCAGGAAGCGTTTTTTATGCTCCTTCGTAAAGGACAAACCCTGACCAGATAGCTCCACAATTTCCCATACTTGAAACTCTCAGCTGTGAAAGGTCCGATTATAAAACCAAGTAGCTTAAAAAAACAAGTCTTTTATGGCCTCTGTTGAGATGAAGTTGGCTTTTAGGTGTGTGTTTCACACGCCCCACACCTCAGTGCTTAAACTGAAATGTGTTACATATTTTTCTAGGACAAAAAAACAACAAAATCATTACTGAGATAAAATATTATAGGTTTATTTAAAACTTATTTCTCACCTTGAGTATGCAAAATACAAACTCCACAAAATGTTCATTTCTTTACTTCATAGTTTACAAATATACAAAATAGAAGTTTGCTTAAATTTATATTACATATTTATTAAGGCAAGGAACTATATAGAAAAAAAACACATTTGTCCTGTTTAAGGCATACTTGGGAATAATCCATTGTACAAATTATTGCACATCTGAAACCACAGTGCATAACAGACTGTCTGCATAAACACGTTACAGAAGTAAACCAGGTATATTTACCCGACTTAGGTCATAAATGTAGATCGGAAGGCAAAAATAGATTTTCCTTGTCAAAGTATGCAGCAGTTTGAGAAGAACTTTGGCTTCCTCATTTGGTACCTTTAGAACCAAGACTCATCAAGCACCGTCACGTAGGTGATTAAAACACGTTTTCTGTACCTGAATTTCTTCCTCTTCTAACATAACTAATGGCTTTTAGAAGGCAAAGAGAATACAAGGTGATCTTTATACTTATATTGCATTGAAACAATTCAAGAAAATCTTGGTCCTCCCGCCCTCCCCACACTCAGATCTGATTTATACCCTGATATCCCCAACTTCCAGTCTCTCCCATGGCGTTTTGTAAGTCCGGGCATGTTCAAGTCAGATTTGGAATTGGAATGATAGAAGATCCAGTCACAGACCCCATCTGTTCTTTGACTTTTGTCCTTTGAGTTTCTCCTTTCTCCGGATTATCCACTTACGGGCTGACTTATTGGGAACCTGACCATGATTGTAGTGCTTGCCAGCTTCGCGCCTCCCCTTGTGGGGAGACAGTGTGAAAGGGTTTTGGGGAAAAAAAAATACTGAATTCTCTCGTGGCAGTGCGGGTGGCGTTACTCTGGGATTTAAAAGTGCCTCTTCATGTGTAAGGCGAGGTGGTCCGACCTGGAAAAGGCCCGGTCGCACTTCTGGCACTGGAAGGGGCGGTGCCCCGTGTGCTTGCGGTAGTGCCTGGTCAGTTCATCAGAGCGGGCAAACTTCCACCCACAGCCATCCCAGTCACAGTGGTACGGTTTCTCACCTGTAAAGAGAAAGGGAAAAGGAGCTGAAGTCAACATTACTAAGAACTGGCCCTTTTCAAAACTGGAGGCTAAATATTTAAACAGAACGGTACACCCACCCATTTTTGAAAGAATCCAGTTAGGTTTACACCACCACTGAAGGGTCATATTAAATTTCAGACCTGGCTAGGGACATAGCTCAGTGGCATGCCTATCTGGCAAGCACAAGGTCCTGGAGTTCAATTCCCAGTACCAGAAAAACAAAACAAAACAAAATTCAGACCATACATAACACTAGAGTTTTAAGTATTTGCTCTTATCTTTAGGGGAATATTAACTAAGTAATGAAAACATACCAATATCACCTAAGGCTGTATTTCTGCAGATGTTAATTCTTTTGATCTAAGACATCAGAGGTATAAACAAATGCAGAAATTATGATTGATAATATCATTGCTGCCAAAACCAACCAAACTATGTTTGATATATACAAATATAAC